CTGCTCTCGCTCTTCCCAACACAACAAATAGGCACCACCTGCTGGCTACCAACCTGACACGGGAGCAATGCTGCTGCCAGCGGAGGGAAAAGGACAGCCTGTGCAAGTGGAGTGTTTTAGGTGACAAACGAATGGGGGGTGTGATAAATAAATAAAAGACGACTAGCAGACTTCAGCAACAATGCTGGTCGCTGGAGGCTTAGCATCTGGTGGAGCGGCCGAGATGAGGGGAAAAGGTCGGTGGGATCAGTAACGACTTTGCAACATGAAAGATCTTGTGAGATGTAAATGATCGTTCTTGGACCACTTTGGAATTTTGAAACACTTTCTTTTTTTTAACAGTGAGAATCTGGGGTGCTCGGGAGAAATGTGTATTGGAATCTACCAAAATCCGTCACGCTACCGGTTTCTGTGAGGCGTGGGAACCAACAATAGCTACTGAACATCACTTAATGTGAATATCAAAGCCAGGTTTTGCCTAGGGTTAAAAATCAACCTTCTGAATGCCACCATCCCCGGTGGCTGTGCCTCACTCTCTGCAGACACTTCTCATCACCCGTGTCTCAGAGGTGTAGTGAAGATGACTGGGGAACAGAGATGTCTTCTGAGGAAAATTCAGATTAAAAAAAAAAGTAGTTGTGTTTTCTCTAACAGTTTCTACATAAAATATGTGTTCTCAGTGAAAAAAATACGTAACAAATTAAAGCAAAGCACCCAGAAAGTCAATTCTTGGGATAAAGGGGGGTTGTTTTGCTTACTTTTTTGGTTTTCAGGTTTTTCAATTTCCAATGAAGAGTTTAATAAAAGAAATGAGAAACGTTCATGCTTTCAGTGACAATTACTGATTGCCCGTCAGATGAAAAAAGGTTTGGCACAATAGTTTCTCCTGAGCATGGAAGACCTGGGCTATTCTTAGACATGGGTACAGCCCTGGACTTGCCTGAACCTAATGTCTCATAAAACAAGCGTGTTTGCTTTGGGTAGGTTACCTTCCTGAAAGAGCCAGCAGCCCCTGCAGATCAGCACACCGCTCTGCATGTCGGCATGTAAAAATGCCTCATACTGAAGGTTTAAATGATATTCATTAAAAACTGAGTTCCGCTAGCAGAATGATATTCAGCTAACAAGAAGATACTCCATGTTTTCTCTCAGTGACCGACAGACTTACCCGCATGTAGAATTCCCTGCCCTCGTTCCCTGATTTGATTTGGAAGATGTAATAGGCTCCGGGGTAGCGAGTTGTTGCTTGCATCTGAAAAATGTCAGAAGGCACAGACCGCCCGGACACCATGTCCATCACTCTGTACAAGATGGTGAATGGCTGATCTCTGCACCCGGCGTTTTCAGCTGGACACATGCAGCGGCTAATTGTCAGAGATAGGATTGTCATCAGGGGTTACAAATTGCTGTAATATTTGATTTTTTATATGCAAAAACAGCTGCATAAATAAATAAACAAACAAATAATGTTGTTGACCAGCTAAAAGGATCAATGAAACTTGTAATGAATTTTCTCCCTTTTAGTATTCTCTGTGTTGCTATTCTGACCTACCTATATCCCTGCCTTCTTTTTCCTGTCTTCTAGGCCAAAATATCTTGGCATTCTGGTCTCCTTAGATCACTTGAAAACCTGTACTTTATTTAAAGCAGCTCTGCAGGTGTAGAATACCCAGTACGTGTTTGTTCTGATAGTAATTTAAACTGAGCTGTCCCCAAAATAATGTTAATTGTTGGATCATTTCACTGATGGTGCTACACAAATGTTGTATTCTTTATTTAACAATCTTTTACATACCATACGAAAACATACAGCGAGACATCCTGGGTCAAACCAAAGCTCTAGCATCAAATGCAGAGCCCTAAGGAAGAGCAGGATAGCAAGCCAAGCATATGACACTTCCACCAACAGACTCCAATTGTTTGTGACTCAGGAAATTCTTGAAACAAAGATGCCTTCTGTGGCATTCATCAGCCCTTAATGCATTTCTTATCCATCAGCTTGTCCAGCTTCCCCTTACACCGACATGAATGTTTGGCATCCACAGCCCCCTGCGGCCAGGAGCTCCACAGCCCCCTTCACCTCCCTCTGCACTGCCCCTTACTGACTTCATCTGATGCTCCCAGCTCTTTTATTGAAAGGAGAGCGGCCAGTCAACCCCTGATCATCCTCCTCACGCAACTCAGGGTTTCATATTTGACCCTGTTCGTGGCTGAAGAGTCCTAACTTAGTCGTTTCTCACAAGGAAGCTATTCCATCCTTTTGATCATCCTCATTGCTCTTTATGAACCTTTGTCCAGTTATATTTCTTTTGAGAGGAGGGGAAGGAACTGCACAGTCTTGAAGATATGGGTACACAATGGCACGTGCTCTAAGGATATTCTCTACCTATTAACACCTCAAATTCAGATTGCTTTTTTGACCTCTAGTGAGTACTGCAGATCATGGAACTATCTATAACAACCCTCAAATCTCAGTTTGGATGGATTGTGATTAGATCAGTGCTCTTTATTTAATTTGTGCATTTGGGATTGTCTTTTTACTTTACATTCATCTACACTGAATTTCATCTGCCATTTTTATTACACAGTCATTGAGGCTTCTTCTACAACTGTTTTCTGCCCACCCTTTTCTCCACTGTCCTCAGATACTGTTGCACACTTTGCCCATCTCATGGCTTATCCTTTTTCCAAGGTTGCTTACAAATAAGTTGGACAAAGCAGGTCCAGCTCAGACCTCTGCAGAACTTCACTGTGAAAGTTGACAATTTAATACTACACTCTATTTATTTTTTGTCTTTCAACCTCTTATTCTTCTTTGCCAGGGACTTCTCTCTTACGGCTGCTTGATTTCCATAATAACCTTATGTGAGGTTCTTTTCAGAAGCCTTTGGAAACCCAAACATCAGCCCATGTGCCCTAGCCACATGCTGCTGCTTTCTTCAGAGAACTCCAGCAAAGTTGTGAGGCAGGATGTCCCTTTATAAAAGCCATGTTGGGGAATTTACTGGAAAAGAGTTGGGTCTTTTTGCCTATTTTTTCCTATAACCTCCACTACCGACACCAATTTCAGACAGTTCATCTGGCATGTCCCCCATAAAAAGGCTCCTGGCATTACAAACACCCAATTCCTTCCACAGAAAACACAGATGCAAGGAATTCACTTGGCTTTTATACTGACCACTTCTAGACATATGCCACAAATTAAATGCAGTCACATCTAGACAAGAGCCAAAGCCACCAAACACAAAGCTCAGAGATCAAGAATTCTGGTGCAAGCTGATCTGTGAGGACGCTATAGTTGGGCTCTGGGGAATTTAGATACAGAGGCTTCAGATATTTCAAATTCCAGTTTAAGACTCTACCACCTCTGAAGGTTAGGTAAACCCAGAACTGGAAGAACAGAACATGTACACTCCTCAGCTGCCCTTGTTCAGAAAGCAATGTAAAGACATGAATAAATTATGATGGAAAGAAGCTGATTCCTCATCTCTTGCCTTTCTATAAAATACATGAGGCTACCAAGCAATCCCAAGTAATTGGGTTTAATGCAAACACTATGGATGAAATACTGTGGGCTGCAATATATAGAGATCTGTCTGGAGCTGAAATATTTTGAGCCCCAGGCAAATACCTACAAAAATGTAAAAGAAACAGGCAATTTTTAGAGATGTGGGATTTATGTTTTTGCTTGCTCAAATAATTCCAAATTTAGACAGTAACAGTGCTAACAGCCCCATCCAGACATACCCAATTTCTGGACAAGGCAAATCAGTCTGTGAACTTTTCAGCACTTTTAACCTTTAAGCAGTAGGAAACTACTTGTATCCTGCTATAACTATCATCTAATGTTTTAAAGTACTTCCCAGACATAAGCTAGTTAATATTTACAGGAAATACTCATACTAATAAACAGGCTGCATTTGAGCATATATGAAGTCAGTTAGTAACGTAAGTAAACGTCTCTTGTTACACTACAAACCTTGCTGTTTTTTCTACTCACTGATAGGTGTTTTTCCAGTCTAACCTCCCACATATCTGGGCATCATATCATATCATATCCCACCTGGTGACCTGGTAAGGAATTGCAATTTATTATTTTTATAAAGCTTACCAATGGTAAATGCAGCAACAGCATCTACGCATAGCTCTCTAGACACACTTCATGGCTCTGTTGTAAAAATGCAGCTCATTTGGTTCACTCTAGATACGCTTCACAGAGACAGAATTTGCTTTTGTGGCTGTGGGTATGTTACTCACTTCTCATTAATCTGGATATAAGGATCCTCGCATCTTACTGGGTCTAAACATTTATATTCTCCTGGGATATTGAAACATGTTTGCTGGGGAGTGCAGGTGAAGTTTCTGTTTTCACATTCATTGATATCTAAAACGCAAGAAACAAGAGAAAGGCTAAAGCAGGGAAATATGTGCAAGACACCATTCTTACAAACCGGTTTCCATCTTCAGGAATTGCCCCAAAATTCATAACACTCTCGCACCATGAGAAGTGGCCTTTTGATAACTGGCCCCTCTTTTAAGATCAGTTTTTACTCCATTTCTGCTTATTGGAAATATGCTAAGTGCTGCAAAAATGGAAAAGAAATTGGCTGCTCAAGCTCTCTGACATTAGAGAATGGGAAAACTAAAGAGAGACATGCAGCAGAGAAAACATCTGAGGGCTTTCTTGTGTAGCTGTTTCCTAGTCAGTAAAGTCTCACTTACACCAACGCACCAGTTCACCTCAGTGGGACTATTCACGTGATGACATTCTTCCCAGAATTACATAATTGGCCCCTGCGAGTATTTCACTGTGCAATGCCAAGACCAAGCATCTCGGTTCTTGAAAACCTCTTTCCAGACACAGGACCTATTTTCTGGTCCCCTTGGGTTTTAATCAGCTCAGGAATGTTCTTACCTTGGCAGCTTCTGCTATCGTCAAGCAAGTTATAGCCCGAAGGACAGATACAGTAGTAAGAACCAGGCCCGTTCACACATTCGTGCTGGCAGAGGAACTCTGAGAAGCTGCATTCGTCCATGTCTGCAGTGGTAAAACAAAGTTCAGTGTCTTTGGCTTTACAGTCAAAAGAGCAGTCCCACAGGCAGGTGGCCATCCAGTCTGTGTGCCCATCACCCCAGCTGGAGGTTGGCACCCTCCAACTCCCTAGAGCTCTGCAGCAACCTGGCAAAATGCTATACAAGTTCTTGGTTAAACATTTTTCTCCTAGGGAAACCAAAGCTGCTGCTGAACACAATGCATGGCTTTTATTTATTTATTTTTCTTTTTGAATACCTGTCACCAGTTGGCCATGTTTTCAGTTCTGTTTTACGTCAGAGATAGCGCTACTCCAACAACAAAGCTGCAACTGTAATTTGAAGGGAGAGACTTGGCAGTGGTTTTCTTTTCTTTTTTTTTCTTTTTTCTGGAGAGCAAACTTCCCTTTCCCAGGCCACATGGGTCCCAGCAGAACTCCTGCAGCCAGCCCCGGCTGTTTTATGTTTCTTAGCCTCTAGCCAGTTACTTCCAAGGCATTCCAGGAAGACTACAGAGCTCATCCCAGCTTGGGTCAGACCTACTGGAAGGCCCAGCCATCTCCCAGATACCCAGGAAGCTAAGCAGTCTGTCAGATCTCTGACTGAAAGCAGAAATTGTGCTCTTTTCCCCTTGCACTCATGAATTGACCGGTCATTGCGTTCTGCAGAACTGTGCTCAAGCGAGAAAGACAAACTTCAGAGATGCTCATGGAGGCATGGCTGACTGAGGGGAAAACACATGCAAAGATGCTAGACTGAAGGAGGCTGCAGTTAATCATTTCCTTATTTCCCTGTTCAGAGGAAGAAAGAAACAAAGGCCAGAGGCCCAGCCAGGAACTCCCAAGTTCTTATTCCCAGCTCTGACATGTTGACTCTCCCAGGCAAATCACTTTTACTCTTCGGACTGAATTTCCCTTTCTTCTAAATTGGGCTCAGTCCATTTATCCACTTTTGGTGTTTTGTGCAGATGGATTGGGAAGTATTTGAAGTCCAGATATGTTAAAGTGGCTTTATGGCTGCAACCACATTATCAAATGGGAGATGAAAGGAACTCTACACCTACATAGTCCTGTTATTGTGTGACTTGCCTCAGCGAGTCCACTGAAAAAACACCTTCCTGACAAAACATGGACCGAGGGCTGGCTCCATAAAGGGACCGAGATATCACCCACCCCCTCGAGGTGTCCTAGCCCAGACCTCCAGCACATCGGATTCATACAATCTGTGCTCAGCTGCTGTCAAGTGCTGGAGGGACTTAAAGCCCCGAGGGTCCTACATTTCTGCTGCTGAGCCCACACAGGACGGACATACCTTTGCTGTTCCTAAACACTTCTGGCATTCTGCTGACTATCTGCAGAGGACAAGATGGTAGGCATTTCAGAGCACATCTAATGCACATGCAAGACCTTTGTGATCAGAAAATAATGCCGATGTTGGGAAAGCCAGGTTGAAATCTCTGCCTCTCTCCTTGAATTGGGGCAGGGATGCCTCCCATCTTCAAGGTAAGCTGGCTGCTAGGCCATGGGCTAATCCAGTGGCCATTGAAGTACGTCTGGGTCCTGGATGTCTCATAGGAGTGTCCTCCTAACCAGGCATTCCCTTTGTGGGCCTCAGAGATGTCTAGTGATTGCTTGTGAAGTGAAAGAAGCTCATCCAGAGAAATTTGACCTGCTTTGACAAGCATTTTCTTGCACAGAATTGTCAAGAAAAGGTTTTCTGCTCTAAATCTGGGTGGTGGAAAGTCCCTTTTGCTGGCTTAACTCTCAGACATGAATGAGGCTCAAGCACCACCTTTTCTGTCACCATTTTGTACTGGCAATGTTTATGTGGCATTGTGTTGAACTTAACTGGTTCAGGCCCCCAACTAGCTCAGGAGCACATAAAAAAGGTGTGGAAGTCTAACTTAGAAGAAGAAACTCCATTAGAAAGCAGAAAACTTGAGTTAGGTGTTGCAGCTCTAAATGTTAAATGACCCTTTAGAGATATAAGTCTTTGTTCTTTCCCTTATAATAAGGAGGTTTGCATGGAAGAACAGCTTTGGAAACACTAATCTATACACATACTGCATATCACGTCTTCTCTCTCACAAACAGCATGTTACATCTGTTTACTGTGAATTAAAAAACAAGTATTTTCCAATGCATTTTTCCTTCCAAGAAACATTGGCGGGATTCTCTAATTTTATCAGGCTGTGGGAACATTAAGCACAGAAATTAGTTTTGCCTTCAATTAAAATAAAGCAATAAAATAAAAACAAAAACAAGAGAGGAAAAAGTACAGTGACATAAGCACAGTTTCTTCTGCTATGTGCTGAACTGATTAGCAATAGCTGTACTAAGAAACCATATATTGCTTCTGAAGTGTAGCCAGATCCATACAGGGGAAACCGGGGAAGGTGTCAGGCAGAAGTGTGCAGTCATAACAGCAAGAGGAATACATGCATTCATCAGACAAATGGAAAAGTGCTTTATATATAGTATTTCTTTAATCATGGAAGAATGTTCTAGGGCTATCCCTACTTTACTTGCTCTAATAAAGCTTCCTGTTCAGCATTACAAAGTGTTTTCTTATGTTTTGCTGTTATCTTGGAGCTTTTTGGTGTTTAGCTTATTTCTTTAAAACCACTTGCAGCCCCCCTCCATTGTGCTTTTCTGGGTATTTGCTGGGTGCTTTAACTGGAAAGAAGATCATATGAGTTGCAACTATGCTGCTGCTAATCATGGACCAAGGCAAAAAACTTTTTAAAAAGCATGTACAAAACAATACATTGGAAAAAGAAACCTTAATAGAATTAAAGAAACCAAAACAATAAATAACTAAAGACAGTTACCACTGCAGTTAACTCCATCAGCTTCCAGTTCATAGCCAGGTTCACAGCGGCAGAGAAAAGAGCCGTAGGTATTGACGCAGGTCTGAGTGCAAGGGTTTTCGCTTGTACATTCGTTCACATCTATGGGAAACCAATGCCCAATGCATCAGTGACTTTTCCCCAAACTCTATTTTCAATTCATTACTGTAAAGCATTTCAAAGAGATTAGCTGTGCAGTCAGAATGATTTGTTCTGAAAAAATATAACCAAGTCAGTATTGTTTATTGGGATTCAGGCTGATGCCTGGAAATAGCATGTTGGAAACACAACATGCATGGAAATGAAGCATTTTGGAATGTCTTCAATCAAAAAAATAACATGGAAGATGGGGATGAAATATTTGTTACAAATGCTTCTGTCCTTGTCCTGCAATTTTAAAACCATTGAACTGATTTTGTCATAACAGACCTGAGACAAAATGCAGCAGGATATTCCTGAGGAAGATAATGCAATGAGGAACGGTCCTCATGGAAACCTAGGGCTAAGACAAAACCAATTTTTTTTTTTTTTCCTTTTAAGACATTAGCAGCTTCTGGACATCATTAGCACAGACCGTTTCCTGCAGCACGTGGAAAGATGCTCCCTGCTTAGCTAGGGAGAGGCTTTCTGAAGAGGTTGTGTTGACTATGATTGAGGTAGCACATCACAGTGAAAGGGGGTCCAATGCTCAGGACCCTAGTCTGGAACTTGGGAGATTCAGATCTAATTTATTGATCTGACAGAGTTTTCCTGTCTCAGGTGGGTCACACAGCCTCAGATTTTAAAAGTAAATTCAGTGCCTAAACTCTTGGTAACTTCAGTGAATTGAGTAACTCTATATTTTAGGGGGCTTGGGCCTCTGTGCATATTCCTCCTGATACACTCATGTTGCAGCTGTACCCCTCCGAGGTACTGTGAAACTACAGAAATATCTCAGGCTGGCAAGGCTATGAACAGTTTCAAAAGCAGCGTTGGGAAGGTTACTTGTATTCTAAAAACTAAACAAGTTTTAAGGGTGTTGCTGGGTTGGGAACAAAGATTTCAGTCGTGGTTTACCATACACAGTACCTTGGCATGATCTTCCATCCTCATTAAGGGTAAAGCCTGGGTTGCACGTGCAGGAGTAGGAACCGGGCACATTGGCACACAGCTGCTGGCAGTAGCCGTAGCGACATTCATCTATATCTATAGATGGGAAAGATGAAAAGTAGAGTGGTCTGCATTTTCACATGCAGGTACAAAGCAGCAAACACACTGTGTCAACGGTACCAATAACAGGGACGTAACCCAGCATGCTGGTTACGGGTATAACAGCCAAACTTTCAGGTGTTCAGACCCAGAGTTATAGTTAAAATACATCTCTACCCAAAAGAATGTAGTAATGTGTTTTTATCCACAGCTGACATCTATCAGTACGTCCTATGAACTGATTGTCATTGCTGTAATCTTCAGCTTAATGTGATGTCATCAGGAAGCCCACAGTCAGTCCCTTTAAGCAGCTACCTCGAAGCATACCCGATAGCTGGCACAGCCTGTCAGCACAAGCACAGCCAACGTTGTAGCAAAGTTTTGTCAGAATCAAGATAGAAACCTTTTTTACATCCATGTATACCAAAGCTACTCTCTAGAAAAGCAATCAGTATTTGTTACTAAATACTTCTTTTTTTAGAGAGGATATTCTTTAAAGACTTTTTTTTCGAATAGTCACATTCACATTTTGTATGAATTTTCAACTGACAAGTTATAGACTCTAAAATGTAAACAGTAAATTTAATGCCAAAATATCCGTTTGGGCTGAATTGCAGCATTAGCCATACATGCAACTGACTGTTACAAGCACAAGAAAATGCTGTAAGATATGTATGACGGTAAGTGCTAGAAGCATTTTGCCCCTGGACTAGAGAACTGGAGTGAAACACCTGGAGTAGTTGTCTTTTCCAAGGCTTTACATTTCCTTTGGTATCAACTGGCTTTTGATTTATGGAGATTTTTTTAATGGCTACTCTCAAAGCTTTGAAGTTTGTGCAGTAGAAAACCAAGTGTATTATCTCCAGTCAGTTTGCCAGAAGGAGCAAAGCAGGAAGGCACAGATTTTGGAGAAATGCCCCCCACCGCAGGTTCCGATGCACGTGAAAATCAAAACGACAGTACCCTCCCTATGGTTCACACATATACATATATATCTGCATGAATTCCAGCAGTTCGTTATTTGTTAGCTAAATTGGCCGCTTCCTGTTTTAGTGTTAGATATTAAGAACGTGTTGGGAAACTGAATTCTTGAACTATTTGAACATTTACATGATGTGGTAATACCATAAAAACAACAACGTTGTGAATCTGTTGTGTAAGTAGCTACATCCTGCAATTCAAGTTTATTTTTTTGGCCGCCTTGGGGCAGTTTTGCCATAGAAAGTCTCAGGAAACCATCCTGAAAATGTCAAAAGTCTTGGAAATACTCTCTCTCTGTAAAATAACGAGGACACTGACACTCAGTTTTACCCTTACTGTTTTTTATTTCCCACTGCATTCTAAATAGTAAGATAACCTAAAGGCCAGGGTCAGCTATGGTACGTACACCAGCAGTAGGCTTGGCCCAAATCCTGCAAAAACTGACATGGGTTTTAAGTAAATTAATACCTTGTTTCACTGACACAATGCATTATTTAAATACATGCTTTGGCTTTTGCAGGACTGTTATCTCAAGAGTGCTACATTTTGAGGATAAGGATTTTTGCAGGGCTGGTTGTGGGTGGGTCGTGTGGATACTGCTGTACTGGCTCCTCCTGTATAAACTTTACTGGGATAATTACAACAGATAGAAGCGTAGCTTTTTGTAACTGTGGTTTACTAACACTGCACCAAAAAAACCTGTCTCTAAAACCCAGCCCAGCCCAGCCCTCTGATTACAGTAAATGGTCTTTTACTGCTTTATGCCAGCAAAAATCACTTCTCCAAGGCCAGCGGAAAGTATGGAAAACTCAGAATTTTTTGACACTTAGGGAAAAATATAGCAACTCTAAACACAATTTGCTTTTAGCTCTTTGCATTGCCTTGTAATAATCCACCCCATGATTACTTAAAGTGGGCAACACTGGGATGTTATTGCCTATTTTAAATAGCATAAGCAGATAACTCAAATCAATTCAGCAATGCAGCCATTTCAGTTCTCTGGTATATCCATCAAGCAGTAAAGTACTTTAGATCCATGTCCAAATCCTTGTGCTGCACACAACCCTTTCATTTGGGCTGTAACTGGGAGAAGTAAATGGGTAACAAAACAGGTGATGCAGAGCAGAATCCCCCACCCTGCCCTCCCTCATCCCCACCCATCACGTACGCCTGTACAACCCCTGGCACAAGCTTCTTTTCCCAAGAGAAGAGGAATTATCAGAGATTAAAAAGCAGGGGGCTCGGACACTTCATATACCAGGGGAACTACAAGACAGTGATTCCCCAAAGCGGCTATGGCTGCACAGACCCCAGCTTGGATGAGGCTCAGCTCTGTCCCTGCCAGGTGAGTTACACAGCAGCTGTTTGCAGTAGTTAGGAAAGCAGCCGTGAGTCAGTCCTTCACTGGAATTGGTACTTGGGAGGAGAAAGTTGGAAAATAACTGGAGAGGCTCCAGGGATGAATGGGCAGGGAAAGCCCGTTCTCCTTCCAGCAGAGGTGTTGTGACAGGACAGTCCAGCTCCGCAGAGCTGGCAGGCAAACAGCCTGCGCTGAGGGGAAAAAAATAATAAAAAGCAAACGTAAAAAAAAAAAAGTTGTATCCTATTTCCCAGGTCCTATCTGTGTACCTAAAATTAACATCTACTTCATCATCCCGTGGGCATGTCTAGTGAGGGGAATGGGCTGGTGGAGAGGGGAGCTGGGAGGTTTTCCCATGCGGTTTGTGGAGGGATGTTTTTTCAACAGGGCTGAGCTAAAAGGATGAACAGGACATTGCTGCAAGGAAAATAATGAAATCAAAATAAAACTGCTTGGAAGCTACCGAAATGGCACCCAGTTCAGAGGTAATTTTTTTCTCATCCCCAAGCAAAAGGGTTCATTGAATCTAGGGATTTACTGGCCCATTTCTTGGTGTCAAATACTGATCCCTTCGGATGCAGACTCTCACGGTGCAGAAAGGACAGGTCTGTTTGGGAAAAATCTTTTTGTATACATGCTTGTGATTGATCTTATATGAAAGGGAATCCTTCAGACTGGAAATATGAAAATCCCACGTTACATGGAGGCTAGTCATATGGCATTTGCATCTACATTTTTGTTCCACAGGGGAGTCTCTCTGCCAAGCATACCATTGGCACTTACAAAGATGAAAGATAGTTTCCACGTAGCCGAAGGTTTAACCATGTACTTGACAAAGATGCTCAGTGACATTATTTCAACTGTTCACAGGTACACATACACAGATGCTCAAATACCGCATGAGGTTTTTACCTAAACACTGGCCTTCTAACAGCCAGTAGCCTTCAGTGCAGGAACAGGTATAGCCCCCCTCAGTATTTATGCAGATCTGGGTGGGGTTACACTGGTGAGAATCTGAAGCACATTCATCCACATCTGCAACACAGAAATACAGCAAGAACATATTAGAAGTAGCAACAACAACAGATTATTCACACTGTACAGGGACTTGCGTGTACACTAGCTCCGTGCGAGGAACCAAGGTGTGGTGGAGTAGAGAGAATGACCATAACCTGAAGTAAAATTCATAATAATAAATGTCTGAGGGCAGTGGGAACTGAGGGTGCTCATCAAACCTCTCCCTTTTGCAGATGACCCAGTGTTTCTCAGAGCTCCTCAAGAAAGGGATCGCATTACCTCGAGCTTTTTATTACTTCCACATTTGCTTTGTCACTGAACTGGGATTTCCATGCTACAGGGTAGTGTTCAGCCCTAGGGAAAGGCTGCTGAACAGGCTATATAACCCCACTGCAGAGTAAGAGATGAACGAGATGTTCGAGAGATGTACAAACACAACTCAGACATATAAAAAAAATTACTTCCTACCCCCACCAACACAGATTATCTCACTGTAATTTTTCTGACAGAAGGTTCAACCAAAATCAACCTTTACCTGACAAAAAATTGTATACTTCCCTGGAATCAATTTCCTGACAATAAAACTCTTCCTTTTTTTTTTTTACTATCCTTATTGTTTTTAATGTATTTGGTTTTTTATTACAACCCCTTAGGGTGGTTTTGTTGTGGGCGGTTTTTTTGGGTTTTGGTTTTGGTTTTTTTTTGTTGTTGTTGCAAAGGAGGTGAATAGCATTCCTACATTTATATAAGCCAGGACCCTGGAACCTAACTGATTAAAAATGCCTTCAGTGTCAGAAGTTCAGTTTGAATCCCTCCTTGCTCAATCTCTTCCCTGATGTTTCTGGCATTGGTTTTGCCTCTAGATGTCAGAAATGGAAATATCAAAAGATAAATGGTGTCATTTTTTCAGTCAACTCAGATTTCTATGTTTTATTTATTGACACCTAAACTATTTTTTATTCCAGCATACTGTGCACTGGCCTTTGCTGAAGTACTATGTCATCCAAGCAATGCTACTCCCTTGATTCCCCCCCCTCCCCCCCCAGTTCTTATTAACCCAGACTTTGCTGGGTCGTGACTGAAAGTATCTCACAAATGCACTGGGCTGGAGCAGTCAGCAGAGGGCAGGAATTACGTCTCAGTATCTGCCCCTGAGGCACCTAGCACAGTCAGTCAGCTGTAAAATCCCAGCAGTCATGAAATAACTGATCCAATCTACCACAGCAACATACCTAACATATTTGGATATATAAATAAATACATACATATTATATATATGGAGAGAGTCTAGAATTCTTATCTTGCTAGCATCTGTACCAGATCAATTTATGGTGAGTCAAAGCTGGTAAGATAACAAGAGTGGCACAATTAGAGGTAATTAACTCTGTTGGAAATCAGTTCCCATGTATTTATTGGCCAGATGAAGATTGGCAAAATGGTGGGGAAGTGGGAAAGGGGTAAGATAACAAGTCTAGACTATATAGGTACAGAGATATGGCGTTCAGTTCAGCTATTGCTTCTGCGATTGGGCTAAAAATTCTGGATTCTCCCTTCATACAGCGTATCACACATAACTGGTAGTAGTTGAACACAGATTTTATCTAACCATAAATTTAATAAGAATGACATTAATGTTTTCTAAATGAAAAAGCTTTCTATTTGTCATGTTGGCTTATTGTTTTAGGAGTGGGACCTTGGGATCTGGCCAATTCTGCTGTTTCTAGCCTACCCGAAGCTGAAAAAGGAGATTTTCATTTTCCATGCGCCCTTCTTCCAGTAATATTACTAGGTGAAGCACAGCGGAGACAAAATGAGGGTCAGGGTCTTACCACCACATATGGTAGCAATGCTGTTTGAAGACTATAGATCCTCCACTCTTCTGTGGTACATCTTTCTTGCAAGGGTACAACACGCATCCTTCACCAAAAGCAACGGGTGGCTACAGGATCGGTTTTGTTCCCAAGTCATCTTTGTAGCAGTTGCATAAGCAGCAGTAGAATCACTCCAGAAAAGTAAGACATCAGTTGTCTTTTCTTTGCTATCTACCAAACAGATTTCTTTGCTTACTCCCAGTCTCCAGCTTTTGTGGTGGTATTGGAGACATATTTCCATTTGAATGCAGAATTTTTTACAATGGAGGCTACCTGTGGAGTTTCTGCTAGAAAACCTGATCAACCTGAAGTTGTCTATGCAGAACACCTTGACTCCCCACATTTTACACTGAATAATACCTCACTGACTTCATTAATGAAGTTTTATGCAACCAACAGGTATACACAGCTTTACTGGTAGCATCAAATCTTTTTGCTTGGGCCTGAGCAAAGAACACACCCAGTTCTATATTACATGTCTCTGGCTTTCTCTAAGATTGCTCCTTATCATGATGCGCCATTAAACTCTGACAGACCCAGACAATGCAATCAAATCAATTATTTTTGGCAAGCAGCCTTCTCAGTTCAAACAGGTAGTATAAGCCCAGCCTGTCTGCCATGGGTTATTTACATTACATGGTTTCACTAGGTGAAAGCTGGTATTTGCTCACTGAGAAAAAAGTCGGTGCAACAATTGACTAACTATGAGGTATCCTCTTGAAGAATAACAGAGCTGGGAGACAGAGGGTGCCTTGCCCAGCCCATTTACACAGTGTGCATACAGTGAGAACTGGTGTGGTTGATAAAGTCAAAATTAGACATTTGACAGGGAAAAAACAAACAAACCAACAATTATTTCCACTGGGGAGAAAACCAGCCATAAAACATTGAGAGATTGCCTACAATGGATTCACTAGACTTAGGTACCAGCATAGAAACTATATCAAAACACTCCCAGGGCATTTTTGGTTGAGTGGAAAATTGCAAGTGGAAACAACCTGACAGCTAGTCAATAATCTGTAAATCATTTCTTATTCTGGTTGCACAGCTTATTTCTGTCCCGTTCAAACGTAAATCTTAGGTGTGTTCATGCCCTGGCAATATCACTTCAAAGCTCATTCGTACCACCTCTGCCCTTCTGATGGGTTATACGCAATACTAGAGTAAAACTGTGATGCTAAATATACATGATATTAAATTGTCAATAGTTTTGTAGGTTCAAAGCAGATAAGACAAATTCAGAGAATAAAAAATTGTGAGGACTACTCAATACAAGGATAGCACATGTGGCTTAGAAGTCCCTGAGATGCAGTTTTCTGGAGCCTGGAAGAGTACCTCTGACCCAGCATAACTTGTATTGCATTCTTCACCATGGAAAGAAATACAGCAATAAGTTGTCTGAGCCCCAAAGTAAAGTCTAATCAGCTGGAGAGCGGAAGAGTTACTAAAGTGAAGCAAGCTAGCAAGAAACCCTAGAAACACCATTGCCCTATTCACGGTGTTAATAGATTGTGATATTTGATGATTTTGGCATCAGTACCATGAAAGCATCAGATGGTGTCACCCATCACTGATATCCAAGGATGGTTTTCATTATAGTGAACCTGCTTTTAGTACCTTTCATCAGCAAAATCCTTAGAAAACATTACTTGCATCCCAAGAGAAAGCCTAGGTTTTACTAATAGCTAGTCTTATTGAATACCTCTTCTGTGATTCTGGCTAGATTACTCAGTATGTGGCTACAAGAAGAATTGCCATGAGGTGAACTAGGAAGCAAATATAAATTAGGTCTGTCCTCAGTGAAAACAGACTAAGGTACCTGGTAGTTACTGTGCAGGACAAGGAACCAGCACCAGTGACCACACTGTAACTCATGTGCTGAGAATTTACCTTGTGGGAACTCATCCTTGCTCTTCATCTTCCACTGCCCTGCTTCCGATTTGAAAAATGGGGATAACAAAATCTCTGTCATAGTCCACCCTCCCTCACTGTTTAGCATCTAAAACTATTCAGGGCAGGGCCTGTCCTCTTAGATACAGATCCAGTTCACAATTAGTCCATTTTTATTTGAAGCCTTCCAATCCTAATACAAATCAAACTGTACTATGAAACCCTGCAATGTCCCACTTGGTGAAAAATATCAGTGTGCCTGGATTTTAACCAGGAAACTCAAGACTAAGGAATTAAAGGACTAGCCTGTGACCACTCAACAAGACAGAAGCAAGAACAGGTCACAGATGTTTCTGACTTGTAGTCCTTCATGTAGCCCAATACAGCCTGCCCCTATTATATGAACACTTAAAGACGTGTCTTTTTCAGAAATTTTGCGCAGCCTCTACATTGGCTAATGAGATCTAAAGTAAAAGATTAACCATCATTCTGAAAGCATTATGTTCTACTAGGAGACCTCAGAGGCATCAAAGGCTCTTTCAGCTAAACTCTATGCTACTCACGTTACTGTTCTACCCTAATGGTGCATTGAACCTCAAAGTTTCCAGTAGTTACTGAAACAGAGAGAGAACTAGTGACACAGTCCATGGCAAATTGAAAGAGTTATCTAGCTACCACACCTCTTCTTACCCTTACAAACAGGACTGGGACGGTTGCTGTGAAATTACATAGGAAAACAAGAGGATGTTAAAGATCGTCATACCTAATAATTTTGAGTAAGTCCGAATTTTCCCAAGTGACTAGTGAGTCTGGGTGACTCCTTAGAGGTTCCTGATTTTGAGAGAGCAGCTGTTCAGCACTTAAAATCAGAATGGATCCCTGTTCAAAACTTCTCTTGCCAAGAAGTGCTTGGCCAACACTGGCCCTGAATGTCTTGGCTCTTGATTATGCTGCTGTGTCCTATCAAATTAGCAGTCATCTATATTCTTTCATCCATCCTTCCAGTTGTTCTGTTCACATTACTGCTCCCACAGCTAGTTCCAAGGGTAGAAGTTCAGGCAGAAGTCCAGACTGAAATTAAAATTTTACCTGAAGTGGGAATGATTTACTTTGTTACTTCCCAACTGAATACTGAGAGCAACCACACGGCCCATCCAGACCACTGCTCTCTGCCTCCTAAGAAATACCACCTAGAATGAACACAGAGACTCATGGCTCAAAGCCCTGAGTTTTAAAGATCTTTGGTTTACTGACTAA